GTGTGTGTGTGTGTGTGTGTGTGTGTGTGTGTGTGTGTGTGTGTGTGTGTGTGTGTGTGTGTGTGTGTGTGTGTGTGTGTGTGTGTGTGTTCTTTTGTAAATAGATGATAAGTCCGAACACTTTATTGTGATAGATTTCCGATTAGTTTCCGCCTTTCAACCAGACTAACAACTTCCTGTTGGGGTACATCACCATGGTGCCTTCACCTGCAATCGTAGGCGCTCCACAGCATCTTATAGGAAATAAGAAATCCTAATGATCCATCAGTTCTCTGTAAAATAAAAGCAGCATTCCCAGAAAGTCACATAAACCTTAGAGAGTAGAAATGTCTGTTTTACACACAAGTCTTTGTGTTTTCCTCTGATGAACAGAAGTTGATCCTTATGATCAGCTTCATTCCTTGCTTTTGTTCCACCATACCACAGCAGGGCAACTTGTTGACTGTATATAAAGTTCCTCCATGCTGTCGGACCACAGATGTCACTGCAGGCTTTTTCTAAAGGAAAACGTCTTCTTTCAGCTGCTCCCTCTTGGCGTCTCCACAGCACATCATCTGCCTCCATCTCCCCCGTTCCAGCATCCTCCTTCCTCACATCAGCCCTCTGCGTGTCCTTCACTGCATCCATGAATCTTTCCCATAGGAAACATTATTTTCTCCTGATTCTTATACTCTCCCCAAGCACTGAAACTTTGATGCAACATGCCTTATTCACACCCATTCACACTTTTTCTATGCAGTGGTGCTTTCTTTCTAGCGTCCACACTCTGATGGATGCATCAGAGACTGTTTACCACCGGGGTTAGTATCTTGGCCAAAGTTACTACAGCTTTGCATCGACTTCTTTACAGCGGCTCTCACTTCCTCCGCCTTCCTCTACACTTCCTGATTCATCCTCCTCTCCAATTGTCTTCCTTAATCAGCTCCTCCGGGAGCCTTTTTCAGCCCCCTTTACTTGTTAGTACGCTTCCATCTGCACATCCTTTCCAAATCTGCCTATCGACAAATGTCCGTCTCTCCTTGCTTTGTAAATAAAATGGCTAAGAATAGATGATTTTGTGGAAATCCACCACTGAAATAATTCTGGTCACATCTCAGTGATCACGTCTCTGCCTCAGAGTGTCACTGCTGAGCTCTCTCCTCATTTCACAACTGAAAACAGTTTCGGTTTCATTTCTACGTAGAGCTGCGGCTCGTTTTTCTGGCTACAAGGTATTTAAAAGTCTTCTTTTACCGAGCACCACTCATAACGTAACAATGTTGAATGTACATTTGAGCTTGTATGTAAAATGTGCAACAGCTGAACAGGTAAGAGGGCAGATACAGTCAGCAGGGAGTGGGCCTAACTGCGGGCCCAGCGTCGTTTCATTGGTTTCATAGTTTATATAATACATTTCCATCTGCAGTGTTTAATCACATAACATGCTTTGCGCTATCAAGCTATGAGTAATATCGGGCCAATGGCACAGTGTGGAGTATAACAGCTCACAGCATAGGATGCAAATATCTAATGGAAGTAGATGGCGTCCTGCGTATTTGACTGTTGTGCATCTTCATTCTACTGGATATAGTTTATCTGATGTCGGTATGTTTTAATATGACTCTATTTCTGCATGATCAAAGTCGACTTTGATCATGCTCCCGTTCTGTGGGTCCAGGTGAAATACAGAAACTAGCTGCTGCTGAGCTGTGTGAGTGAACAGGTGATGACATGAGCTTGGGCGCTAACTTTATTATCCAGCACAGTGTCGTGTTCGTAACTGAGCTGCCCAGCATTCATGTTGTTGTGTGTGTTCATGTGTTAAGACACTGTGGTCCACTCAGCCATGAGTCAGTGTGGAGACACAGAGGAGGGGGGCACACCATCTAAACGTGCCAAGAGCATGGAAGACTGCCTGGGCAATGAAGCTACGGGGTGAGACAAGAACTTCTTATACGGCATACAAACTAGTACTATTTCATTTTAAAATAATCCTGAGGCAATGCTCTGTGGGGGTCTCCCCCCATGGCTAACACAGTGAGCCATGTTGTAAAGGAAGTGGAGTAACCATGTGGGCTTTACCAAGTTATGTCCCTCTATGTATTTGTTTATCCAAAAAATCAGTTTTTAAAGCAAATGTTTACAAATAGAAAGTAAGTATAATAAAAGCATTGACACATAATGACTGGATTTGATATCTTTGAAATTTAATATACAGTATGCTGTTTCCCTACCAGGATGCCGAAGCAGTTAGCAGGCTCTCCTCTGTCCAGCTCTATGTCCATGAAAAGTGACTGGTCTATGGACCCGCCTTTAAATTTCAAAGAAGGGAACCTCTCTGTTGACAAAAGGTAACATTTTGATTTCAAAAACATCACTAATGCTGCACCTAAGGGTTAAATGTCCACTCCATCAGGGACTTGTGAGCGTCTCATACACCAGTGTTGGGACTAACGCGTTATTAAGTAACGCGTTACAGTAACTACGTTATTATTGTGGTAACGAGCACGGTAACTAGTTATTATGCCAAAATCAGGAACGCGTTATCGTTACTGGGATTTAGATAGGGTCGTTACTCGTTACTTCGTGTGGTGGCTATCGCGGAGCTTCCACAGATTCAGTAACATTAGCAAGTGGTGGAGGCAGCAGGTGGATGAAGGAAAAGGGACGCAGAAGGAAAAGAGACCCGAACTGAACTTCAGGTAAGAAGTTATGACCTGCAGTCTCTCTGGGTCAGATATGAACCAAGTTTAGGTGGAGTTTATTTTCGTTATTCTGACTTTTTCCGTACTGCGTGCTAGCTAGCATGACGGAGTTTCTATACAGCTGGGTGGTGCTATGAAGTTAATGATGTTGAACTTTATTTTGTTCATAAGTTATTAGAGTTGCCAACCGTCCCGTCTGGTATTCAGAGAAAATATTACGCGTTTCTTATTGAGGTGAAAAGGAACAGTTTGTCCCGTAATTCAGCTACAATGAAAAAGACACAAAGCTGGAGTTATTCTGTGTCTTTGCTGCACAGCTGCCTCTTCTTCTTTCATTCTCCCCCCTCCCTCTCCCGTTTCTACTTCAATCATGAAACTGATCAATGATCAGCTGATCGGCTCTCTTGTTTGTTTATCGCTCACTTTGCGCCGAAAGAGGAAACCAGCGGATGTCGCGCTAAACAACAGCAGCACGTTTAAGCTTGATCAGCTGTTGTTAGAATTTATTTAATATTAATTTCTAGTATCAGCTGATGTTTGCTGGAGCCACAGCTGTAAAGCTGCTGGTCATGATATGGTTTGGTTATCTGGTGAGAGGGAAACATGAAGATGAAACCAGGAGATGTCCTTACTGAATCATCAGAGCTGTGATGGAGAAACAGGTTTACCTTTTAGGTGACATGAATGAGTTGAAGGGAAGTTATGAACTGTTTCTGAGAGACAAATAACACCAGGATCCTTTTTTAGGTAGCTGACAGCTGGTAACTGTGCAGGTGCGGATCTAGCAAAGTGTTGCCAGGGGGGCATGTAGGGCATTAACAGGGAAAGGGGGGCACAAAGAAATACTTTTCTTTCTTATTCTCATTTAAAATGTCTAGCTTTTAAAAAATAATTATCTGAATCTTACAACAAACGATTGATAGATTGATGCATATATACCATCAGAACAGTGTACATCACTGTCACAACAGTGTTTTTTTCATTCAAAGGCTTTATGATTTTTCCTATAATGGTGGGCCGGTCTCTAGTCAAAATGCCCGGGCCAATTTTCTGTCCCAGTCCAGCCCTGTATGCAGCTCATCTTCAGTCTGGTGTTACCTACATCTTCCTATTCAGAAGGCAGAATTTCCGAGTTCTGAGTACAATCGAAAGCACCACGACTGCAGTTTTTGTGTTGGATGTAAAAGGCGCACATGACGCTGTGACGTAGGCTAGAATCATGGCAGCAGTCAATGACGGTCCAGGCGTGGGATTTCTCTCGTGGAAATATGCACATTATCTTTTCCTTTCTATTGGTAGGTGGCACAGTGCACTTGTGGCAAGTAAGCAAGCTAGAAGACTGGCAAAGTTATGGAAGCAACACATTAACAAGAGAATTCTGAGTAAAACCAAAGTTACTTTCCCTAGTAACTAGTTACTTTGAAAGTAACGAGTAACTTGAAGTAACTGAGTTACTTTTGAGAGAAGTAACTAGTAATGTAACTAAGTTACTATTTTAAAGTAACTTACCCAACACTGCATAGCACACTGCTGTCCTCACTCCTACACTTAGCTGATGTAAACTGTCAGTGTCCCGCCCACTTTACTGTAGTTCTGCATTTCATTTGGCTCAGTTAATATTTCATTAATCCCACGTACACCTGTAGAGACCTGTAGACCCTTTATCGTTACCTACTGGTCCGTGCTGTGCTGAATATGTGCCGATCAGAGGACAGATACCAGAAATAACTGTGTACATATTCAACTTTCAGTTTATTTATGCAGTGATCCATAGTGTTACTGACCATTACTGCATTTAATAATGTTAATTGTGGATGTGTGGATGTGTGCACGTGTGCGCTGTCTTCGCAGAGTCGGGCAACAAAAGTCTGAGGTTCATAGCTGTCAGTCTGCTCAGCAGCATCAAACAACGTTGGACTCAGTTTTTATGGTGGGAAAGTCTAAAGCACATTTTCATCACTGTTCTGTTTCTAATTGGCTCCATGACATTCCCCTGACAGAGGAGAATATGTGCACAATGCATAAATAAATACATGCATAAATGCTGAAAGATAATTTCCTATAATATTGTCTTCCAGCTGCTTGAAGAGAACATCATCACTTTTGTGAAGAATGAGCTTAAAAGGTTTCAGAGGATTCTGCAGAGTTCCACCTGCCCAGAGAAGGACAGCGAGGATGAGGATGTGTTAGCTTCTAAGGCTGAAGAGCAGACATGGAGCACCAGGGAGGCTTTTGTGAAGATCACACTGGACTTTCTGAGGGGGATGAACCAGGAGGAACTGGCTGTCTGTTTGCAGAGCAGTAAGGGCACTCCCACTGATGCAAAGTAGGGCTGGGCGATATGGCCTAAAATCCATATCGCAGTATAGGTTGAAGCATGTGCGGTAACGATATATATCACAATTTATTTTCTTCTGTATACCGTATTTTCCGCACTATAAGGCGCACTTAAAGTCCTTTAATTTTCTCAAAAATCAACAGTGTGCCTTACAATCCGGTGCATCTCATGTATGAATTCTAGTTGTGCTCACTGACCTCAAACCGATTTCATGTGCTACATGGCGCTCAAAAATCTGTCAAAAATGTTGTAGTACGACTTTGGTAAGCTACGAAGCCGCACTGCTTGATGGATTGTTGGAGCATTACGGCTACCGTAGTCAGGAGCCTCGCAGAGTAATCTGGGTCCTAAACTCCGTCCACTTTAGGTCCCAAAGTCAAACAAACACTGCAGCATCACTGAGAGTTAAAAACCGTCTAAATTATTTCACCTTTAATAAAATGATCAGTGTTGCTGCTTTACCAGGTGTAACAATTAAGTTTAACATCCAGGCATCCATGAAAACAGAATTTATTAAATTCAACAGCGTTAGAAGTTAGTAGGAAGTTAGCTCGCTAGCTTCCACCTAAACATGCAGTGATGTTTGTAGGGTTACTGAAGTTGGGCTAGCTGGTATATAATGATGTGTTACGTGATTGCTAGCGACACAGCTATGTTAGCATATATAGCAGATATATATATATAAACACAGTGAAGCTGGAGGATGAACGCTAACTTTTTTCCAATCGATAAAAGTTAACATGAGGGTTCCCGATGGTTAGGGACAAATGCAATCGCATGGCAGGATGCTCTAAACGGACCAAACTTCAGTCAGGAGAACAACTGAGATAATCCATCCACAATACGAGGTTAGTCATTAATATACTGCAACAACATGGGAATAGAGCAGCTGCCAGAGAATTCAGCATTAATGAATCAATGGTACAGAAGTGGAGGAAGCACAGTTTTTGGCTTTCCTCATATTCCAAAAGTGCTTCATCTCTTCACTATTACTGTCGCTGGCATAATTTGCAGATGATTTTTCTTGCAGCTGCTGCAATGCTTTTGACCAAAACAGGCACTTGATGACATCATCAGCATGCGCTATCGCGGTAGAGCGGTATAGTCAAAATCCCTACCGTTGGTCAAATTCATATTGTTTCTACCATATACTGTTTATACCGCCCACCCCAAATGCAAAGCCTCAGTCTGTTGTGGGTGCACGTAGTCGTGTACAACGACTGGGATATGACACTATAACCCAGTGATTTCTCTGCGGCTAACGTACTATTTAATGAGTCTAAAAATAAGAAATCATCCACACGGTTAGTCATTGTCTGTACAAACATTACAAGTATATTTAAAAGTACTTGATGAGTCAATGTGACCTTTATTTCACAAAGCAAGTCATTAAGAAACGATTCTTGTTGTGATTTGGCACTGTATAGGTAAAACTGAATTGAATTAATTCCGCAGTGGAGGCATTGCTGAGCAACTTGGGCTTCTTATTTTGCCCAGTGATATTTGGCATACAGACTGAAGCAGCCAGCCCAAGAGAAGCACAGAGAAGCACAGAGAAGCACACAGCTGTTGTGGTATCAAACAGATTATATTTTATCCTCTGCTAGAAAAGCCTTATATTTTAAATTTTGACCAGCTGTTCATTGTTCTGAAATTTTAACACCATCTCATTTGTTTTTTGTCCAACAGGAGTGGGTGCATCCATTTGCCAGGATAAACTCAAATTAAATCTTAGAAGGAAGTTCCAGCATTTGTTTGAGGGAATTACTAAAGTAGGAAACCCAACACCTCTCAATCAGATCTACACAGAGCTGTACATCACAGAGGGAGGGACCGGAGAGGTCAGTGACGAACATGAGGTCAGACAGATCGAAACAGCATCTAGACGACATGCGAGATTAGAAAAGACAATCGCCTGTAAAGACATATTTCAGCCGCTGCTGGGAAGAGATCAACCAGTCAGAACAGTGCTGACAAAGGGAGTGGCTGGTATTGGGAAAACGATATTAACACAAAAGTTCACTCTAGACTGGGCAGAAGGCAAAAACAACCAAGATATCCAGTTTACATTTCCATTCACTTTCAGGGAGCTAAATGGATTAAAGGAGGAAAAGTTCAGCTTGGTAGAACTCGTTCATCTCTTCTTCTCTGAAACAAAGGATGCAGAATTTTGCAGATTTGAAGACTTCCAGGTTGTGTTTATCTTTGACGGTCTAGATGAGTGTCGCCTTCCTCTGGACTTTCAAAATAATAAGATCCTAACTGATGTCACAGAGTCCACCTCAGTGGATGCACTGATGACAAACCTTATCAGAGGAAAACTCCTTCCATCTGCTCGACTCTGGATAACCACGCGGCCTGCAATGGCCAGTCATATTGATCCTAAATGTGTTGACGTAATAACAGAAATCAGAGGGTTCACTGACTCGAAGAAGGAGGAGTACTTCAGGAAGAGTTTCAGGAATGAAAAGCAGGCCAGCAGGATAATTTCCCACATTAAAGCATCACAAAGCCTCCACATCATGTGCCACATCCCAGTCTTCTGCTGGATCACTGCTACGGTTCTGGAGGATGTGCTGAAAACCAAGAAGGGAGGAGAGCTGCCCAAGAACCTGACAGAGCTGTACATCCACTTCCTGGTGGTTCAGGCCAAAATGAAAAAGGTCAAGTATGATGGAGGAGCTGAGACAGATCCACACTGGAGTCCAGAGAGCAGGAAGATGATTGAATCTCTGGGAAAACTGGCTTTTGATCAGCTGCAGAAAGGAAACCCAATCTTCTATGAATCAGACCTGACAGAGTGTGGCATCGATATCAGAGCAGCCTCAGTGTACTCAGGAGTGTTCACACAGATCTTTAAAGAGGAGCGAGGACTGTACCAGGACAAGGTGTTCTGCTTCATCCATTTGAGTGTTCAGGAGTTTCTGGCTGCTCTTCACGTCCATCTGACCTTCATCAACTCTGGAATCAACCTGCTGGAAGAGGAGCAAACAACCACTCAGATGTCAAAGCCTAATCAATATGAACTGAAACTCTTCTACCAGAGTGCCGTGGAACAGGCCTTACAAAGTCCAAATGGTTACTTGGACTTGTTTCTACGTTTCCTTTTGGGTTTGTCACTGCAGTCCAATCAGACTCTCCTACAAGGACTACTCAAAGAGACAGGCGTAAACTCACAGATAAACCAGGAAGTAGCCAAGTACATCAGGGAGAACATTGGGGAGAATCTGTCCCCAGAGAGAAGCATTAACCTGTTCCACTGTCTGAATGAGCTGAACGACCACTCTCTAGTGGAAAGGATCCAACAGTCGTTGACATCAGGAAATCTTTTCACGGTTAAACTATCCCCTGCTCAGTGGTCTGCTTTGGTCTTCATCTTACTGTCTTCAGAAAAAGATTTGAATGAGTTTGACCTGAGGAAGTACTCTGCTTCTGAAGAAGGTCTTATGTGGCTGCTGCCAGTGGTCAAAGCTTCCAGTAAATCTCTGTATGTTCATGCACGACCAGATAAGTCACTGTCACTTTAAATACTGTAAAGAAAGAGAAAAAATGATTAACTTCCTACTTGTTTTTTTCCTTACCCCATCAGGATGATTGGATGTAACCTTTTGAGCAGAAGCTGTAAAGCACTGTCCTCTGTTCTTAACAAGTCCTCTAGTTTAAAAGAGCTGGACCTGAGTTACAACAACCTGCATGATTCAGGCATAAGGACAATGTTTGCAGATCTGGAGAAAAACTTTAAACTTGAGGTTCTCAGGTTGGTTTCAGAATTTTTACACTAAAATTGTATTATTTAAATATATAGGTTAGAAAATGAAACAGGGAAAGTCAGGAAACTGTTAATCTCCATAAGTTCATATGTGTATTTTCATACTTACCATTAATTTTTAGTGTGATGGCTGCACACTGAGACTCTTAAACTTTCAGCTGGATCCATTTAAACATTAAAGGCCACTCTGTGCTTTCAGGTCTAAACTTGGCCCCATAATCTAATAATGGCCAGATCAAAGTAAAAGCTTTACTCAGTGAATATTCTTGGTGCTAAATAGCATACAAATAGACTGATGATTATTTCTAATCCACGTTCTTTTGCTGCAGTTCGCACAATTTACAGGTCACACAGACAGACAAACAGCCCAATAGATAGATTGATAGCTTGATAGATTATCTTAGGAAGAAGAAAAACATAGATCTTATTTTTTTCTTAAAAGAACCACTGTATTACAGCAACCAAAAAAAGTGATTCAATAAATCAAAATCTAAATTTTATATAATAAGAAGAATTCATTTCTGAAAAAACAAACAACAACCCCAAACAAACGCTGAATTACAGGTTTAATGTGGGTTCTTTACCTTTAACAGAAAAACACAGTAAATGGGGACATCAAGAGCTCAGAATAATCAATACTTAAATGTAATTGTATTTAATTACATATAATTAAAGTATACATCTCAACAGGAACACTGAAATGAGGGAACTTCAGTTAATAAAATCAAATAGTGTTAAAAAAAATGGCTAGATTCCCTGTTAGTGGTTTTAAAATAAATGGAGGCTGTGCTCTTCAAGATCATGTCCCTTAAAGGTCCGATGGTGTAATGTCCAAATACCTCGGAACAATTATAGATTCCAAACTGAACTTTGAAACAAACTGAAAAGCTTAGTCATGTTTCACAACGCTGTCTTATTTCCACCTTAATAAACCATGATGGTTTCATTTAACATGATTTTAAATCAAATTGTGAAACAGAGGAGGCATTTTTGGTTTTATTTATTTCTTCATTATGCAATATTATGCTTTTCTGTTGTCTCTGTTTGTATTGAAAATGTATAGTGTCGATGAATGACACCATAGTAACCTGAACCTACCCCTGAATGAATAAATCTATATTCAAATATTTTTCAATAATTCTCATTAGTACGAGCTGAAATTTGGTTTTTTTTTCTGTATATTTTTTATTCCACATTTCTGATGAATGCTCAATATTATGTCTTCAGGCTAAATGGCTGCGAGCTTTCATGGAGAAGCTGTAAAACTCTCTCCAGAGTTCTCAGCAGTCAGTCCTCCACTCTGGAAGTGCTGGATCTAAATAATAATGAGTTGACGGATTTAGCAGTCACGTATCTCTTCACGCCACTTGAGAGTCAACTGTGTACACTGAAGATTGTCAGGTAAGAGCTTTTCAACAACATTCATATTCAAATCAGCACTTCTGAACCTGTGGTGCCTAACATTCAGAATCTGAAGGGTCTAGTTTGTCCTGAAAATTATATTTTGCTGGATTTCTTATAAATTTTACTGAATTCTTTTTTTCTTCAGGCTGGGTGGCTGTAGCCTGTCGAATGAAAGCTGTGAAGCTCTTGCTTCAGTCCTCAGTTGCCAGTCATTCAGTATGATAGAGCTGGACCTGAACAATAATGACCTGCAGGACTCAGGAGTGGCGCTGCTGTCTTGTGGATTGAAAAGTCCTCAGTGCAAACTTGAAACTCTCAGGTTAGATAAGAATATGCTTTTGTTTTTTGTTATTTCAAGTTTTTTAATGTTGTCATATCACACATTTTCTACAGTTAATGCAAAATTTCAAACAGATAAACCCAATGATGTTGAAATGTTTACAGCTTGTCAGGCTGTCTGATAACAAAGAAGGGTTGTGCTTCGTTGAGCTCAGCACTGAGTTCAAACCCTTCTCATCTAAGAAAGCTGGATCTGAGTTATAATCACCCAGGACCCACAGGAGTGACGCTCTTCTCTGCTGCACTGCAGGATCCACACTGCAGATTGGACTCTCTAAGGTAGGAAGACAGGTGCTCGTAACCTTATTCAAATTAAGACTTCAGAAACCAACCTATGGATACTACAAGCAACCTGTCAGTCACATGTAAAAACATTTTTGGTTACCCTAACTGGAGCAAGAGAGTACAAAACAAACATCATGTTCTATTTAATACAAGTGACTGAGGCTATAAACCCATCAGGAAAGTCTTTACCAAGGTCAAACAATACCATAGCCACCCACTCAATCCAGTTCAGTTCAACTTTATTTACATAACCCAAATCACAACAACAGTTGTCTCAAAGCGCTTCATATTGTAAGGTGAACACCCTACAAAAATCAACAAACAAACCCTTATTGGCAAGCACTTGGCAACAGTGGGAAGGAAAAACTTTAACTTTAACAGGAAGAAACCTTCAGCAGAAGCAGGCTCGGGGGAGGCGGGGCCATCTGTTGGGGTGAGGGGAGGGAGACAGGACAAAGACACGCTGTGGAAGAGAGCCAGAGATGAATCATAACTAACCATTAAATGCAGAGAGGTGTATAAACATTTAGAGATTTGGAAGAGGGGAGTGAAGAAGCCCACGGAGGCCTCGGCCCATTGCACTGTAACTAAGGGAGAGTTCGGAGTCACCTGATCCAGCCATTAGTTTATGCTTTAGCAAAAATGAAAGTTTGAACCTTAATCTTCAAAGTCGAGAGGTTGTCTCTCTCTCCCAAATCCACAATTCGTTCCACAGAAGAGGGGCCTGAAAACTGAAGGCTCTGCCTCCCATTCTACTTTTAAATACTCTAGGAACAACAAGTAGGCCTGCAGAGTGAGAGCGAAGTGCTCTAATAGGGTGATATGGTACTACAAGGTCATCAAGATAAGATGGGGCCTGATTATTTAAGACCTTGTATGTGAGGAGCAGGATTTTGAATTCTGGATTTAACAGGAAGCCATTTTGGATTAACTGAAGGCTTTTCAGGGAGTTTTTAGGACTTCCTGATAATAATGAATTACAGTCGTCCAGCCTGGAAGTAATAAATCTGATTTTTTTAGAGGACAGAATACTGTTCTGAGATGCAAGAAAATATCTTGCTTTTAGTTTGTTAATATTCTTAATGATTAAAATTTTTAGCTAGTCAAGCACATCGTGTCTTGCTTATCCTCCAAACTCAGCTAAACAAAACCAACGAATGTATGAAAACATTTTCATGTCTCTTTGTTTGAATTATTATTCCAGGCTGGACAGCTGCGGAGCTCAACGATTGAAACCAGGACTGAGGAAATGTAAGTGTTTTTAGCTTGATTAATGAAGCTAACATGAGCTTATGTATATATATATATATATATATATATATATACACCGAGTGTCATTCATCTAAAGAAAAGACAGATCTATGACCTGGACTTTGTGAAGGTTTAAATACATTTTTGATCAAACTTGATTATGTAGAGTTTGTATCATTTCTTTGATGCCTACCAAATGTCTTTGAACTCTGTTAGCTCACAGTTAAAAGATTTGTTTCATGTTTTAGCACCGATGTGTTGTTATCACATTTCTTAATATTAAGTTGGCAAAAAGATTTTACCTTTTAAGATTTTATGCCTTAAACTTGCTGACTTGCAGTACATTTACTAATTGTTTATCTGAAGCTGTAGTATAAAATAATTTGATATAACAATGGATTAATTTGCTCTGGGTCATGTGATCTGCGTGGTGATGCAGTCATGTGATGTGACTGGCATCAGTGCTTGGCTCTGTGGACGGTTCTGACGGTTCTGTTTTCATTTTGATCTGCCGTCAGACGCCTGTGAACTCAAAATGGACCCGAACACAGTACACAGGAACCTTTACCTGTCAGAAAACAACATTGTGACAGATGACGACGAGGAATGGCTGTATCCAGATCACTCTGAGAGGTTTGAGTGCTGGTACCAGCTGATGTGTACACGTGGCCTGACTGGTCACTGTTACTGGGAGGTGGACTGGAGTGGGCTGGTATCTATAGGAGTGACTTACAGAGGGATTAAAAGGAGTGGTCCTGGTATTGACAGTCGTATTGGTGGGAACAACATCTCCTGGAGTCTGGACTGTTCTGCTGACAATTATTCTGCATGGCATAATAACTCAGTCCGGATCATAGATAGCCCTGCTCCCTCCACTGAAACGAACAGAGTGGGAGTGTATTTGGACTGGTCTGCTGGCACTGTATCCTTCTACAGAATCATTTTTGATACACCAACACACATCCACACGTTCCACTGCAGCTTCACCGAACCTCTTTATCCTATCTTCAGGATACGGTCAGAGTTCACCTATGGTGTTTACAACTCTGTGTCTCTATGTCAGATGGATGCAGAAGACTAGAGACAAACTGCTTTCCTTACACGTTTATTTGAAGCATTTTATAATTTGAAGATAACTGACAAATATGGACTATAATGGACTATAACAGACACAAAGTTTTACATCTTGGTTTGGCAGCTGCAAGTCCTGTAAGAAGCAACAACTGAATAGGATTGTTAAGACTGCCAGGAGGATTGTTGGTGCCCCTCTCTCGCCTCTGGAGGAGATCTACAAACAGGGCCGCATACACAGAGCTATCTCCATCATCAGAGACCCCCACCACCCGTCTCATGGCCTGTTTTTCCTCCTGCCGTCTGGCAAGAGGTACAGGAGCATCAGCTGCAGAACCACCAGGATGCTGGAAGGCTTCTTTGCACAAGCTGTGAGACTGATAAATGGACTGTGCCCCCTCCCCATCCACTCAGCTACTCACACAGCTACACTGTAAGATCCACAATCGGACTGTGATGCCCCCTATCTGCACACACACACACACACACACACACACACACACACACACACACACACACACACACACACAATATACTCCCCAGATACACACACTACTTACTTTAACAACCCCCTTCTGTGAAAGGGCTGCTGCTACCTGTATGAGTGTGACTGTTTAGACTTGTGTTTGTTTTAGAATTTAGATTTTATGTTCTTTATCCCCATTTATTGTTACGATTTTTTACTGCTCTTTTTAAAACTTTTTCTTTTTTAAATTGTATTGACTATTGCACTGTAGAGGCTGGTGAGAAACAGTATTTCAGCCTGGGTAACACCAATGACAATAAACGTGAAACTAATAGACTATAAAGATGGAAAATTAAGGAGAAGAGCATTACAGGACATCCAGGCCTTTATACGTTTAATACATGCCTGTACTGCTGTTTGTATCACTTGGCTTCATGTATAAATAAAGAGAAGGGTATTATCTGCACTGTTTTCAATGATACAGCCTAAGGGAATCATGTATGCTATAAAAACTGTTGGTCGCAGCAGAGAACCTAGTGAAACTTCACACCAACTCTTTTGAAGAAGAGGACTCCCTATTTACATGAATAAACTGTAAATTATCAGATCGTTATGATTCACTCATGTGTAGCTTAAATGCTGAAATAAATCTGTCTTGGACCATTGTCAGAGCTGTTTGTTGCTGTACGTCTTATTTGCTAAATGCAACAAAATATGGTATTACTCTAATGACATGGCAAAATTAAAATACTAAATAATCATTTTTAAAAATCCATTGCAGAGAAGTTACATTTGGTCAAAGATTTAAATTATTTCCACTTATTAGTGATACCAGTAGGCTCATAAGTCATATTCCTAAACCTTACAGTGAAGGCTGTGTCATCTCATTGTAAGGCTTAAGAACGTGACACATCAGCTTATTGATATTTCTAATAAAATACATTATTTTGGTAGGTCGCTGACCCCTGCTGTCTCAGTCTGCTTTGCCACTGATGCAGTGGACAAACATGACAGGCAGGGGGCGCTGAGGTAGAACTTGAAAGAAGCCGTCTCATTTGTTAAACATTTTAACAACAATAAAAAGATGCACATTTAACACGATCATTTCAATTGGTTACATTCAAAGGTTGGAATTTACCTTTAAAACAAGGAAATAAAACTAAGGTTACAACGTCACCAAAGCTGTGCGTTACAGAGCTGATTCAGTCACAGTCGTCATAAGTTTTATTTCCTGTTGAAATTAAGTCAGAGCAGACAAACACGGGCTGATCCCGACATCGACGACAAACTGCTCGTCGTATTCATTATTTTGAAAGGTTTGACCGGAACAGCCTTCTTGACCGTGGTTAACCCGGTGCGGGTATGACGTGAGTGCATCGTTTGTGGAGTGTTTGGCTAACCCTCACTCGGGGCACAGAGTGTAACTCTGCCGGTGGAGGGGGCTTTTTCTACCGTCAGGCTAGCCGAGAGCCGTCGGAGCGGAGGTACACCGGGGAAAGACGACGAGACGGGTCCAGGTGCCGTTTACCGTCCAACAAACCCGGGATCGTTTGTGTTGCAGTGGCGCTTTCCTGGTGTTTCCTGTGGTAAACGCGTGTGCTCTGATGTTTCACGGTAAGTTGGTGCGAAGCCCCGGTGCCTGTGCTCCTCCACCATGCCAGACTCCACTTTAAAATCTTCCCATTTTAGGAGCGCTTGTTGTAGCACAAGAAGTTCACGCGCGTGGCGCAGGAGACATGAAAGTCTGCCTGTTTACGGCTCTTCTCGGATGTTCCCAGTGGTTCACAGCTGGAGGGGTTTATTCGCCGAGCTAACACTGAACGACTTCTTTACTGAGCACGTTTACAGACGGACGACGTCCGTGGCTGGTTTGTGACACAAGGATCACAGCAGGCGTGAAAGGCAGGGTTTGCATGTAGGTGCTGAGCTCTGCTGTGATGTGTGGTTTGGACAAAGAGACTGAAGATGCTCACGTTTTCACTGGGCGTGATGGACAGGGTTGGAGGCAGAGAGGGTTTGGACATGTGCAGTGGAGGGACACCGAGCTGCTGGTGACTCTTACAGAGAACAGCAGAAAGAAGACAACGGGGTACAATGACTGAATGCATTGACATTGAAATATGCAAACATAATGGCTTTATTCAGCACAGCTTCAGTAATGTTTAGCTGTGGGCTTTGGGGAGGCCAGTCCCTGACTGATTTATATCCAGGGTTGGTTTTGCTGCACAGTCCAAACATGAAGGTGCTTCGATCATTTGGTGACTCTAGATCACCCTGAGGTGGATCAGTGGAAGATGATGGATGAAAAAATGATTTATTAGTTTTGTCTGACCATCTTCCCTCTGAATGTCCCATTTAACACTATTATAAAAGAAAACCATCAAAAGGAGCCAGTCTTCACATTAGAAGGCCAAGTCCTCTCCATCTGTGCTGGGGAATTTCATGTTGTTGTGGATGGTCGTCAGTTCTGTTGTCCCAAGGTGCTTTATAGAGTAAGGTAGAGGGAACCCCGGTCCCTTGTGACTTGGTGACAGTGGGATAAAAGAAGTCCCCTTTATCAGGTCGGTCTCTGGTGGAAGCAGGCTCGGTGCCGTCTGCCACAGCAGGCTGGAGAAGTAAAGAGAAGACGTGAGCAACGCTGAAAGGTGTTCCTCTGTACTAAAAGAGTTTTGGGATACAGTTGTTGCTTTGCTGTCTGCACACACATGCTGTATATTATTGTCTGAAGAGCAGCTGCTGCTGAGTACAGCAGTCTGTGTGCAGCGAGCCTCTCAGATCATGCACTCTGATTTTGTTGGTAAATGCTGGATTGCCCTCACTCTGTAGGACTGCAGTCGAACTGCTTCAGATGGGGGCTGGCAGCAAATCCCGTTCACCATTTTGCAACTAAGTGAGTCCCTTTGCATGGAGGAGAATCCAGTAGTGGAAACAGATGTGTGCATTCATTGGAGAACCAAGCGAGCTCAATCCAGCTGTGAAATGGAGGATTAAAAGGCAAAGCACTTAGTAAGTCCTTCACACAGAAAATATCATAAAATATAGAAAGTGACACGTGCAGAAGTAATGTCCTGTTTTAATGAAGGGGCATGGCAGAGACGTGTGGCTGTGCAAACATTTTAGGCACTCAACCGGAGGGAAGCGTCTCTGCAGCAGTAACAAAGTCCTGGTCTTGGGCTCAGGTGGACCTGCATTCAAAACAGGTGGAAAAGACTGCATCAGGAACACTTTGGAAAACGCCCCCGCTCACGTACGACGGGATGAAGTGAAGCAGAGAACGGTCCTGTGCTCTGACTCTCTGGCTTAAAGAGGAGAGGGAGCAATCGGGGGCGATCATGGCTCAAGAGTTGGGAGTTCGCCTTGTAATCGGAAGGTTGCCGGTTCAAAGCCCCAGCTCAGACAGTCTCTGTCGTTGTGTCCTTGGGCAAGACACTTCACCCGTTGCCTACTGGTGGTGGTCAGAGGGCCCGGTGGCGCCAGTGTCCGGCAGCCTCGCCTCTGTCAGTGCGCCCCAGGGTGGCTGTGGCTACAATGTAGCTTGCCATCACCAGTGTGTGAATGGGTGGATGACTGGATATGTAAAGCGCTTTGGGGTCCTTAGGGACTAGTAAAGCGCTGTATAAATACAGGCCACTTTTATTAGCACACAGTTTGACACCAGCTTCGGTGGGGGTGGGGTCTCAGGCGGGGGCACCTATAACATTATGCACATATTCCAGCAGCACAGCTCTGTAGGATCCATCCTGTCATCCACTGAAAACACTGAATTATAAAAAGGAAAAATGATAGAAACATCAAACAGCTGATTACAGCACAACATGTAACGTGTCCTGATCATTGGATTCTGCTTTTTCTTTACAGTGTTGCAACTTCTGTAATAAATCACGTGTGGTTGGCAGAGGTTCGCCGTCTTCATCCCCACAGTCTGATCATGTCTCTAGCTTATACATTTGAAATAGCTTTGTCTTTTAGCAGAGCGTCAGCTGGACCCGTGTTGTTGCAGGTGACGTTGTGCTGCTGTTAAACTGAGGGTTTGGGATGAATGTGCCTCTCCACACGCTGTTGAATCTTCCTGTTTCTATGCAGGACTCGTCGCTGTGATCTGATGATGGGACAGGGTGCTGCTGGGAGTGACTGCAGCCCTGGAGGCTGATGAATCTGCTCCATCAGCCAGTCAGGATGCACATAGCTTCAGTCGGGGTCAGCAAGTTCTGCTTCCTGTTTTCTCTCGCGTTCTGCGGCCTCCTGCTCCTGCTCATTCCAGCTCTCCGGCCCCCTGCACGCCAGGTGGAGCTGCCTAAGCCCCGACCCCAGGTCAGACCTGCCCAGGTGGGGACGTCACACCAAGTCAGGGTTCCAGCAGGTTTTTTACATGTTGGGGACAAAGAAATAACGGCAGGTCTTAACAGGAGCTCAGAGGGGCTGGGGAAACCCATCAAAACTGAAATTAGCATTAACAGCAGTCCCAAAACAGGAAAGGGTGTCAGAAGAATCCCTGAGAGAGGCGTTGGTGGACCTCGAGAGTATAAGTCACGTGACAAGTTGGAGCTGAAGGACATTTTTGTTGCAGTAAAGACAACCAGGAAGTATCACAAGTCCAGACTGGAGCTGCTCATTCAGACCTGGGTGTCTCAAGCTAAAGAACAGGTGAGTGCCGCTCCTGTTTTCACATGGCCGTGCACACTGTCCATCTGTTAGGCTTTCCTATTGTCGATGCAGGCAGAGGTCCGGTCAGTCCGCCTGGTCTTACAGTCTTGGTATCAACCAGGATCTGGTGCTATTTCAGAGCTGCTCTGACCCGTGCTCCTGTACCGACTCGTGTGTGCCTGCTCAGCTTACTGATGATGATGATGATGATGTACACAGTGAAAGACCCATGTGGGCTTTATGACTGAGTTTTATTGTGATGTCCACAGTGAAGTGCTCGTCCTTTGTTGTCCCAAACAGATGCCAGACAGAAACAATCCTGATATAAACTTTAGAAATAGAGTAAATGATCATTTAACAACAGCTGGCACATGAGAAATGTGACATTCAAATATATACAAATGAAATAAAAGAATCTGAGCCCCCTGAAAATATTTAAAATCAATATTTACTTTGTAAATCTGCACGTGCTGTCTGTACACCTCAAACACATTTATACAGTTTACATTTTTGTTGACTTTTGTTCCATAATATGAGAGAAGTAAAACTAACACTGTGCCGCACATTCAAACAACTCATTGATAATTGAAACATGTCTGATTACACATTACTGAAGTAATTCTTGGCTGCAGAAGGAAGTGTGTGTTTTTGTCTCCTGATGATCTAAACTTTTAGTTGCGGTGCTGAAAGGTTGTGCTTTGCATGGACACAACTTTCTGCAGCTTCCACACAAAAAGTGAAGATGCAGCTTTCACTGCAGAGCACCAGTGTAAGTGTAAGGCTGTGTGAGCGTGCCACAGTTGTGCTGTGTCAGTTAGAACTGCGTTAAAGTGAGCTGAGACTGAGAGCGCTGCTGTAAGGAGATAAGTGGCTGTGACAGAAACATATTCCCACAGCATGTAGTGAGCACATGTGATCTGGATTGTGTATACACACAGATGTTAGTCGTGAAGGATTTACTGGTGTGTACACTGTGTGGCTCTTTAGGGTGGATTTTGAGATTGCACAGCTAATGTGGTAAAGTTTGTCCCCGGTGACATTTAGCACAACCGCAGCACGTTTAAAAATCTTCATCGTTCAGTTATCGAATCATTCTGCTGCTCACTCGGTGTGCACGACGGTCTGCTGTACACAACAGCTAATGCTTACATCCAGGTGTGTGTGTGTGTGTGTGTGTGTGTGTGTGTGTGTGTGTGTGTGTGTGTGTGTGCGCGGGTCTGTGTGTGGCCCCCAAAGTGGAAACTGCCGTTAATATTTCATGCATGTCTGTTCCTGCAGCAGCTGAGGTCAAGAAACATCACGATGTAATGTAGTTGATGTTCGCCAACGTGCTCAAAACCCAACGTGTGAATGGAGCTTTTCATTAAAGTAACTGGAGTTTAAAGTCACCAGACGCACTATTAAAAGCAGTTATCGAGTCCCAGCGCCGGACAAAGAGCCTCAGTTTGCAGAGAAGGAGCTTTATTGCACAAACAGCCTGCTGCACTGCAGCCACACACGTCACAGTCACACACAACTGTTCCAGTTCAGGTTGTCGACCCAGTATCAGCAGTTTGCCTCAAACCAGTTTTAAGTTCTCGTCTGTGTGGGTTAACTGCTTACTTCCAGATGCTGGAGAGTGTTACAGGCCTGTCGCTGCATCGTTTCACTGCTCTCAGATCAGTAAAGTGTCCTGCGTGTTTACAGTTTTTCTGAATGCTTAAACCCTAACTGTGATTCCTGTAGCACAATCTCTAAAACTATTCAGACTTATAGCAAAACCACTCACTGAGTTTGCAAAACTAAAAGCACAAAAACTGCTTTGCACTCAGTTTGCAATTTTGTAACACACACTTTGCAAAACTGTAGGCACAATTCACTGCACAACACTCAATTACCAAATTTCCAACACACTCCTAGCAAAAGTATACACATGTATGGCTATCATTAACACTAATTTGCCAACTGTCTGGCACACTTTCACATGTGAAAACTTTTTTAGATAATTAGTTCACTTTGCAATCAGCCTAAGCACTATAATACAGGTAAGCTGTGTGTGCGGAGTACAATGGAGGGAGCAGAAAGAGTGAGAAGTAGAGGAGGCCGAGGAAGAGGACGTGGAGGTGAAGAAGTAGGATGAAGAGGACGACAAGGACAAGGAGGAGCAAGAGGAAGACGAGGAGGGGGGAGAGGAAGAGAGGAGGGGGTAGGAAGAGTAAGAAATAGAATTGCTGATGACATCAGAGCTACAATAGTGGACCATGTAATCAACCGTGGAATGACCCTGAGGGTAGCTGGCCAACGGGTCCAGCCTAACTCGAGCCGCTACACTGTAGCAAGCATCATAAGGACATCTTGAAATGAGAATCGGTTAGTACAGTCACTTCGCACAAAGATTTGTAGCACTGCCATATGCCAATGAGAAACACACCAATACCATTGTGTAA